AATGTTGCCAAAAGGGGGAGAAATATTAGGCTTTCATGAGCATGCATTCGGGGGGTGCTTTTGTAAAAATCCTAAGTGCATCAACTTAGGGGGAGTCTTGTGAAATCAAATATGCTTTCACGATGTGTTTGTGCATTTTTTTATTATTAGAAAGCCTTATTTGTCAACATAAAAAAGGGGGAGATTGTTGGCCTTGAATGCCATATACCGTAACCGTTTTGATGTGGAAAATAAGTCTTGCAATTGTTACTAACGTTATTTGTAGGAAGAACATAAATGCCAAACCTCTCTAACTTGATTAGCATCACCGAGATGTACTCCTACGGGTGTAGAAACATTTGTGTAAAGGTAGTGATATATGTTTAATGATAGACTTATGCCCTTTCACTCAAAATGTTATATCTAAAGTGTCAAACATATTCTTAGTTGGGGTTATTTTGAAAAAGGAACACAAAAAAATCAAATTTTGGAAAATGTCTCAAGCCTCTTAGACTAGCAAAGAAACCTCGTTATCGTTCTTCGTCTTGAGAAGAAAGAATATTTGTTCGAACGAGCCATCCCACCTGTCTTGGCCGCCAATGCTTCTAGAGCAATCAAGGATACTTATGAGAAGCATGTTGATGATGACAATGAGGTGGCATGTCTCATGTTGGCTACGATGACTTCTGACCTTCAGAAACATCACGAGAGTATGAAGGCGTACGATATGATCATACACCTAAGATAGCTCTACCAAGGACAAGCTAGGCATGAGAGATTCCAAATCTCCAAAGCCCTCTTTAGTTGCAAGTTTTGGAAACCCCGTTGGTCCGCATGTTCTCAGAATGATTGACTACGTCCAAACTCTTGAGAAATTGGGTTTTGAACTTAGGACTGAACTTGCAACTGATCTGATTCTGCAATCGTTGCCAGAGTTGTACAAGGAGTTTGTGGTTAATTATGAGATGCATGAACTCGATAAAACACTACCAGAACTTTTGAAGATGCTGCAAACTGCTGAAGAGAGCTTGACGAAAGAAAAGGGGAATTCTGTCCTTCTAGTTCAAAGAGGAAAAGGCAAGAAGAAGTTCAAAAAGGCAAAGAAGAATGGACCTAAAGGCAAGGGCAACACCGAGCCAAAGTCCAATTCTTCTAAGCTGAAGCCAAAAGGTGGAGTGGCTAAAGATTCCATTTGTCATCACTGTGATGAAATTGGCCACTAGAAGAGGAATTGCAAGCAGTATTGGCAACCAAGAAAAAGGGTGAAGCTTCCGCTTCAGGTACAATTGTTGTAAAGACTTAAACTAATCTTTGATCTCTTCAAAAGTATTCTATACTTATAATATTGCAAACTGTTGCAGGAACAGAAGAGAAGAAGTAGGAGTGTTGATCTTGAAGATGCAAGGGTTGCAGCTTAGTGGCGCATTAGTTTAAGTTTTAGTATTTGATCATTTTCAATTTCGAATTGATGTTTACTTATTGTTTTAAGTACTATTGGTTATTTCAATAAAGGACAAATTGTTGCTCCATTTATAGAAGTATTTCATATGATCAAGTATTTTGCCTCACAAGCATATCCCAATACAACAACTATACCAAGGCTATAAAGTACAAATATTAATCAGTTAATAAGTTTGTCACAAAATTATGAATAAAGTGGTAAACACTTAGATATATAAGGATATCTTTATAAAGTTTATAGCCAAGTACCCTTTCTATTTAATTTTCGAAATTTAAACTTACCATTAACATTAATAAAGCACACTTGATAAAGATCAAGTGATATTGATACCAAATTTACATAATAGGAAAGGCAAAAGTGATACGATCATGAAATTGACGTTTTCTCAAATGTTATCTAGATGACGTGACTAAAATCGTTGGTCTATTAAAGACGATTATGAGGGTGCTTGGCAGTGCGCTGCTTTTAATAATTTAGCTTCTACTTTGAGTGGAAGTGGTTTTACTCTGTTTGGCATGTCAGCTTATACTTTTCACCACCACTATTTTGTACATAGAACACCGTTTCGGAGAAGCAGGTATAAGGTGGTTTTGCTTTCAGCTTCTGTGGAAATTACGTTATCCACAAGTTAATCACTCCCAAACACCCTCTATGTAACATTGCCAAATACTACTGTACCTTAAGCACTAAAATATCCATTATAGACTCTAAAAGGAAAGAATACTTGGAATCTGTTCCATAACGATTCCTTCCTTAAATAACAAGTAATAAAGGCATGTCTCATATGGAATGAACACACTTTAATTACTTGTTTTGGATGAGTCTATAAAGGATAAAAGAAGGGTTTCGAATTATCTATAATTAGTTATAGTACTTATCTATAAAAGTCTTTAGAAGACTAGTGGGAGCACGATCGATAAGTATGTTGCATATCATTGACAAAATAATTTGAAAAACTTATCAGTCATGAATGCAAATAGTCGTTATGTGCTCAAGTCTAAAGAATTCATAAAGATGGATCAAAGGACTAAGAATACTCTAAGTCCAATACACACATGGAAGATTTTTGAAACTTGCATAAATCTTAAGTTTAAGCCTTTTTGGAGACTCACTCTGTAAAAGGACCGCATGGAAATCGTTCCATTGAGTACCATGAGATGTGTTAAAAGGACTTGATTCATTCTAAAGGAATATATTTTATATATATGTCCAAGCTGAGCTAAGAGTAGTAATCAACTTTGTAAAAGTTAACTTTTGATTCTTAAGAAGAGACAAAAGAGTATGGTTTTCTAAAATGGCTTAAAGTGTGAATGTTGCATACAAAATAGCTTGTTTAGAACAACCATAAGCTAGGTTGAAATTAGCTAAACATATATTAACAAGTATTGACATAGTGTCGTACACATAACTGTGAGACAAATTTGCAACTTTAGAAGTAGCAAAAGGAAGATATTTTGGTTTTGGCAACTTCTCACAAAAGGATAGTATTGCTCCCAGCATTAGAAATCAATATATCATTGTACTGACAACGATAAGACTACTACAGGAGCTAAAGAAGCTACAGTCTCACAAACAAACCAAAAACATCATTAGATCTCACCACAGCATACGAATAGTCATAAAAGTGAAAGTATCAAAATTTGCAAGATAGGAAAGGATAAACAATCTCTTAACCTATTGACCTAGGCTTTGGGAAAACCTATACACGAGGGTCACAATTCGTGCATAAGGCATACATGGGAAGCATAATTGGCCTTAGTGCTAGTGGGAGATTGTTGAATATAAGTGAGCCCTAGAGGCCAACTTATGATTCCATATCTATATTATATCAAGAACAATAGGCCCTAAATATTGTTTAAGTCGTCTCGTGTGATTTAAACATAGCTTTAGTCCATAGGGTAGGCGCTCTAGTAACATAGATGAGAACTACGACGTTCTGATTGTGAGGTTGTTATAGAGATAGAGGCTACGTCTAAAATATCCTTAGTCGAATATTGTGATAATACGGACATCATAATATATCAAAGCTAATACGTATGAGATGAGATAGCCGCGTCTCATAGGCTATAGATAAAGTGTTATCTAAATCTATAGGTAGGCAAACATATTAGATATGTTGCTGGATTGACCCGTTATGAGAATAATGTATGAGTTTAAGTTATAGTGTTAATATTATTCTCATGCGACCATTAGTATAACTATCCTTTGACTTAAAGTCATTACGATCTTTGATAAATTGAGATGCATATTTTGAGGCATGGTTTATGCCATCTGAAATATTGGTGGATGTACAATTATGTTTTGGGTATGCAATGAAGCTTGAGCAAAGATGTGAATGACGTAGATAGAATTTATCCCTTCTTTAATGAAGTATAATATCTTAGGGCCCACTGATTGATGTGACTTGGTAAGTGCATGGCCATGCCCAAATAAATTTATGTTATTTGAATCCCACAAGTCAATCGAAGAATCAGTAAACCATCGATTTAACTCTAACAAGGTGACGCACCCCATACCTTGTGTTAAATCAAGATATTAGTGATAAAGGGATAAGGGTTATACGCCAAATAAGATGTGTCGTTGAAGGATTGTTCCAAGAGATTTTTTTTCTAGGCAACCCTTACCGAGTATTATTAAGATATCATCGTCACCACAAAGTGAGGGGAGGACCAAACCGAGGCCTAACGCCAGCCCCTCATACGGAAGACAAGCCTTCCGGGGAGTACAAAGGATAAGAAAGGGAAAGGGGGCCTAGAACAGGCTTGACCAAAGCCACAATACGGCCTTAGCTAGAACAACTAGTCTACGGCTTGACCAAAGCCACAATAAGGTCCTGGCTAACAACAACACTACTAGTCTACGGCATGACCAATGCCACAATAAGGTCAAAAACACGACCAAAGTACCACGGCAGACCAAAGAAAGCATATGCTCAATCAAAACAAACCAATGGTACAAGGAAACCAAGGAACACAAGGGAAATGGATAAACTCCCACGGAGAAATAAGGCCAATCCAAGCCATCCACTTCCCACTTTGCAAACCACACATACCAAGATTAGGAAAAGGTATTATGAGCTCACCCATAGTACCAAAACTTCTCTGTAACCCCAGTATAACCAGTAATGGCTTAAGAATCTTCAAAACCGCAAACACTATCCCCTAGCAAGATAGGAATAGGAAGGTGAGCGCACCCACAATCCAAGTTCTCCATATCCCCAAAGCGATAGGACTGCCTATACACTCCAAAACTGCCAACACAGTTCACACAACTGTTATTTGGGGGTAATAATGTGTTGCTAGATACCGCTTATCACTTGTAGTATTCAATAACATTGCCAATTATATAGATACCTAGAATAGGGTCACACACATAGAACATATGAAAGTGTAGAATATTTAATTGGAGTAAAATTGCATTATATATATATATATATACATATATATATATATATACACACACACACACATATATATATATAGATACATATATATATATACATATATATATATATATATATATATATATATATATATATGTATGTATGTATATATAAAATTTAAAGAAGAGAATTTTATTAATAGAAAAAAAAGAAAAGGAGTACAAAGGGTGGCTGGCCAACGCCCCAAACCGGCCAATCTAAAGGAAAGAAGTACAATAATACATCTGCAAAATCACACAATAAAACAAGGGAGCATGGCTGGAAATTATCCAAGGGAGCAAAGATATCCCGGTCCCTGCATACGTCCTGTCCAGTGAACCTCTAGGAAACAGCACTGTAGATACATAATGAACCCAATAGCATTATATCCCTTTCTTCAGCCACCTTTATGACAATTTCGTCCCCCTCTCCTTGTCAAAGACACTTACCATTGAAAGTACATCAGCCCATACAGAGCAGAAAAACAGTTATCCACCACTCTTGATCTAAAAGGACATACCAAGATTCCAAGTCCGCATAGCAAAACGAATTCCCAATCAAAGAGGAGACCAGTGTTCCATAACCACATCAGAACAGTGCTATGAAAAAATCCAGCAGCTAGAGGCGACCAGAGTTCCAAACAAACTATGCTCAAACCAATGAGGGAGGTAGATTGTTTATCCCACCAACTTGACCCAATAAGAACTTAACCTGTATAGAGTTGAAAACAGTAAAAGCCCAAGTCTTAACACTCTTGAAGAAAAGCTCCACAAAATGATTGAATAACTCTTGAATCCTCATTTGCACAGATTAAGAAAACCGGGTACTTTGTGCCCTTGATCTTGACGGAATCTGCATTCTCATGCCTTTGGCTATCTGTCTTGTCATCCTGCAGGCCTTACCCTTACCATTTTTCATAATCCCTTTTTGCAGCTTGTCTCGAACCAACCCAATTGTCAGTGCTTCCCTAATGTAGCAGGAAGTCTCCTTGATATAAGATTCAAAGTGTTCTGTAAACACTGGCTCTAAAAGCTTGAATTCCTCTTCAAAATCTCCCTTGCAACATAAATCCAAGGAGTATTCTTTGCTACATAATTCCTTGATGTCCCATTGGAAAAGGAGACTGGTGATGGACTCCTCCTGCACCACCGGACTAGATACAGGGATTTCCAGTAAGGGGTCTTGCCACTCGGGTTTACTAGAAACTGTGGCTTCAGTACTACCCTCGCAATCTTTAGCGGGGTTTGGAGGTAAACCAGATTGAATAAATGTGGTAGGAGGGGGATTTCTTTGTTCAAGAGACCTTGAGATGGCCTTGATAAAGCACTTAAGACCAAACTTATTAGCACCTAATGGAATACAAATTGTAGATCTAGAACCCGCAAAGACAGACACAATCTTCACAAAATCCCCAAAAGAATTTGAATCGCAAATGATATTAACCGAGTTTGTTCCCTCATATCTAGTTAGAGCCCAATCGAAATCTTTGAAGAGATATTGTTCCAGTGATTCCAGGATCCAAAAAGCCGAGGTTGTGGAAACAGATATGGTGCGAAAATAACCATTTTTAAGCTCTGTAATATGGAGGAAATCTGAAAGATGGAAGTGATCGATAAGAGCTGTTTAGAAAGAAGCTAGTAAACCCTAGGCTACCAACGTTGGGTTGGCGCAGGAGTTACTGCCGAACAGAAAAGGAGAGGAAAGAGAGAGAGTTTACTACTATTCTAAATTGTATTATTTCTTGACTTCTTTGAAACAAGTTCCTCGGTTTATATAGACGAGAAACCCTAACCCTAAAAGAAAACCCTTGAAGGGGCTTATATTCCGCCCACCTAATAAAATCTAAAATACAAGAGGAAAAAAAATAAATAGTTTCTAAACATAGTCATCGAAACGTTGCGGACGATGTATGTTTCGGCGCGGCCACGTTACTTCTCTTGGGCCGTCCTGTTCGTCATCTGACTGGTCGTCGGTGTGCATTGGGCTGGTGTCACCTGCATGGGCCTCTACGTGCAATGGACCCGTATCAACTCCCCCGGGGTTGAAAACGACCTTGTCCTCAAGGTCGAGTGCCGGATAATTACGACGAAGGCTATCCACTGGTTCCTAGGATGGATTGATGCCGCCATCATCTGACCACCTAACGAGGCACTGCTCCTGCGGCTGTCCGTCAATCAGCATCGTGCGTCGTGGACCGGCAGACACGGGAGTGGCCATTACCTGTCCACTTGTGATATCAGCTGGAAGAGATGGCTCGGGAAGTGGCTAGCCTCCGGACACAAAGGGCCGTAGTAAAGAGACGTGAAAGACGTCATGGATCTTGCACCCCTCCGGAAGCCAAAGTCTGTACGCCACGGGCCCAATACGTTCAAGCACCTCGAATGGGCCGTAATAGCACCGAGCAAGCTTAGAAGAGCGTGGCTTGACTAATGAGTGCTGCCGGTGTTGCTGCAATTTGAGGAGTACGTAGTCCCCGACTTGGAAACTAACATCCCGGCGGTGGATATTCACCCGCTCACGCATGCGTTGTTGCATCTTAGCAAGATTGCGTCATAGGTCTTCTAGAACCGCTGCCCGTTCGCGCAACATTTCCTCGACGGCGGCCACTTTAGCACGGACAGCGAGAGTTGGAAAAAGGTGAGGGGGCGTGCCCCATATAAAGCCTGATACGGCGACATGTTAAGTCCGTCATGGTGACTGCAATTGAGAGCTAGCTCTGCCCAGGGAAGAAAAGTGGCCCATTTGTGCGGCCGCTCGAAAGTGAAAGCCCGAAGATATTGCTCAAGTCCGCGATTCATGACCTCTTTTTGGCCGTCGGTTTGGGGGTGGTAAGCCGTGCTATATTTCAGTGTCGTTCCACTCAACTTCATCAATTCACGCCAAAAGGAACTCATAAACACCGAATCTCGATCCGAAATGATCGTCGAAGGGAACCCATGGTGTTTCACGACGGTGTCAAGGAAGAGGTGCGCTACGCGTGGGGCGTCAAATCAGGTCTGTAACAACCCGAAGTGAGTATATTTAGAGAGCCTATCGACGACCACCATAATCACCGTGAACCCCCTGGACGGAGGCAGGCCAGTGATGAAATCCATGGAGACGGAGTCCCACACAACCGTTGGAATGGGAAGGGGTTGCAATAAGCCAGCGGGCCGTTGCGTCGAATATTTGGTTGCCTGACATGGGACGCATGCTGCCACAAATTGCCGGACGTCCCGTCGCATACCCCTCGAGTAAAACACATTGGCGACCCGTTTGAAGGTGCGGTCGACCCCCTGATGACATGCAATCGGTGTGCTATGAAATTCATGGAGAATGGTCGTGCGCAGGGAGGAGGAGGAGCTGATATATATCCGATGTTTGTAATACAATATGCCATCATGAAGAGTAATATGGGGTGGGGCTGTCCCATGCTGTACGGTCGAATGGAGGGTCTGACAGTCCTCCAGTAATGCATTATCTCGGCGAATGTCCTGCAAAAGTGTGGGGATCGGCTGTGCAAAGGCCAAGAATACAGCAGCCAGTTCATCCAAAGTCTGGTCGTCCATAACGTCGCGGCGTGAGAGAGCATCTGCCACTTTGTTAGAAGCACCGGGTTTGTATTCAATGCGGAATTTGAACCCCATCAACTTTTGGATGTAGAATTGTTGATCCGGGGTTTGAATGACCTAACAGAGAAGATCTTTTAGGCTCTTTTGGTCACTGCGGATTACGAACTCACGGCCAAGGAGGTATTGTCGCCACTTGTGCACGGCTTCAACAATGGCGTAGAGTTCCTTGTGATATGTGGATGCCGCCCGCCGCCGTGGACCAAGCTTTTTTCTGAAAAATGCCAGAGGGTGCCGCTGCTGTAATAACACGGCTCCAATGCCTACATCTGATGCGTCCGTTTCGAGATAAAAAGTTAGACCAAAGTCTGGCAGCCGGAGAACTGGAGCAGTAACCATGGCCTGCTTTAATTGGTTGAAACTGGACTCGGCAGCATCATTCCACCCGAACCCAGCCTTCTTTAAGAGATCAGTAAGGGGGGCGGCTAACATGGCATAACCCGCCACGAAACGCCGATAGTAACCAGTAAGGCCTAAGAAGCCGCGTAACTGGGTGACAGAGGCTGATCGCGGCCACGAGACCATCGCCTCTATTTTGGTCGGGTCCGGTTGTAATTCTGCAGCGGTGACAATATGCCCAAGGTACTCGATCGTTGCTTGACAGAAGGAGCACTTAGAGAGCTTGACGAAGAAAGCCTGCGCCTGAAGGGTGTGGAGAACCAATTGAAGATGGGTGGCATGGGTTTCCACTGTCGGGCTGTAGACTAGAATATCATCGAAGAACACAATGACGAATCGCCGTAGATACTCACGAAACAAGGCATTCATAGCCGCTTGAAATGTTGAAGGAGCATTGGTTAGCCCAAACGGCATAACGAGGAACTCAAAGTGGCCTTCATGCGTACGGAAGGCGGTCTTAAAAATATCAGCCTCGTTCATTCTGATTTGGTGGTAACCAGAACGCAAATCCAATTTAGTGAATACCCGTGCATGCCCCAATTCATCAAAGAGTTCGTCCGAGGTGGGTATAGGAAAATGATCCGGCGTTGTCACCGCATTCAAGGCTCGATAATCAACGCAGAAACGATAAGATCCATCCTTCTTACGGACCAATAATACCGGAGAAGAGAACAGGCTTTGACTCGGTCGAATAAGGCCTTGCTGAAGCATCTCACGCACTTGTCGTTCGATCTCCGTCTTTTGGAAGTACGGGTACCGGTAGGGCCGAACATTGACGGGCTTGGCCGTGGGGTCCAAGTGAATCCTATTATCCCATGCGCGAACCGGGGGCAACTCCTGTGGTAGGAAAAACACGGACGAGTAGGAGTCCAATACGGCACGGACTGGCAGTGGTATATTCTCCAGAAAACTGACCTCGTCCCCCGCTGCAGGTGGTGGGGGGTGATCTGTAGGTAGCAACTCAAAGAATTCCAAAGATGTATGGGCTGCCAACGAACACAAATGGCTAAAGGAGATGGGCCGTGGGACTGTCACGTCACCCCGGAGCGTCACTGTCGCGCCATTCCAAGCAAATTCCATCGTCATATTGGCGTAGTCGTGGGAAACCTTGCCCAAAGTTTGCAGCCATTGCACTCCTAAGACCATATCCGGCCCATGAATTTCCAACAAATAAAGATCTACCTCAAAAAGAACACCCTGTAGGAGCAGTGGGGTACATGGGCAGGAATACGCACAACGCAATGAATCCCCGTTCCCGACATATACCCGAAACGGTGGAACCGGATGGAGTACCAGAGATAGTCGTTCGGCTACGGTTGGGTGAACGAAGTTATGAGTGCTCCCCCCATCTAACAAGACGTGCACCGCTTGCTCGTGTACCGTTCCTACTAACTTGAGAGAACGAGGGCTCAGGCTTCCGGCTAAGGAATTGAGAGTAGAGACGTCACCCACGATCACCTCATCATCGACGGGCTGAGATTCGTCCTCAAGAGGGGAGCCGGAATCGTCATCATCGTCGGGTCCCATATCGGCCAAGAAACAACCCTTGCAGTGGTGACCAGGGACCCACTTGTCGTCGCAATACCAACACAACCCTTTCTTGCTTCGTTCATTTTTCTGGGCCGAAGTCACCTTCACGATCGGCAACTGCTGGGCAGCCGAAGGGGTCGACGATTTGCCAGTAGAGGAAACCCCCGGGACAGTAACGCTGGCAGGGCTAGCAGTTGGCGTGCTGGAGGTGGAATGAACGGGCTGCCGGCCAGACCAGGGACGCCGAAACGAACTAGACTCGTTATGGCAGGCGGACAATTCCCGAGCCAAACCAAAAGCTTCCTGGAGAGTGCGAGGGTTGCGCAAATTAACCTCACGCTGTACGGGTTGGCGTAGGCTAGAAACGTACATAGCGATGAGGGTTTGTTCAGGGACGCCGGATATTTTGTTAAGTATGGATTCAAAAGCAGTCTGATAATCAAGCACTGTCGTAGATTGCTGTAGTTTAGACAAGGAGCCAATATAGTTTTCATAATACTCGGGGTCGAAGCGTTGCCGTACGGCAATGAGAAACGCCTCCCAACTCGTGCCGCCAGTATTGGTTTGGTAATAACGAAACCAATCCGATGCCGGGTAGTCGATCAACATCGTAACCAGCTGCAAACGTTCACACTCCGGTGTTTGAAAATAATCGAAGTAATTGTGAATCCGGAAAATCCATCCCGCCGGGTCGTCACCATTGAAACGTGGAGCCTCAACCCGTATCCTAGGAACGGCGTCGTTGTGAGGGCCGAGGCCAGGAGCACGCACAGGAGGAGGACGCCAGCCCGTCGGTGGCGGTTTATTCCAACGAGGCTCCGCGTGTGAACTAGAGGCCGTCAAGGTCGAGACCTGCAACTTCGTGGCCTGCAACTCAGTGCTCAAGTTGTTGATGGCCTTCATAAGATCGTCCATGGTCAGAGGTGGTGTCGCTGTAGAATCCGGCGTGGGCGTCGTCATGAGAACGGCAACGAGAGCACCAATTGATAAGAGCTGTTTAGAAAGAAGCTAGTAAACCCTAGGCTACCAACGTTGGGTTGGCGCAGGAGTTACTGCCGAACAGAAAAGGAGAGGAAAGAGAGAGAGTTTACTACTATTCTAAATTGTATTATTGCTTGACTTCTTTGAAACAAGTTCCTCGGTTTATATAGACGAGAAACCCTAACCCTAACCTAACCCTGTCGGTTCAACAAAGGCGTCAAGGGAAAGAACCGAAAAGAAAACCCTTGAAGGGGCTTATATTCCGCCCACCTAATAAAATCTAAAATACAAGAAGAAAAAAAATAAATTGTTTCTAAACATAGTCATCGAAACGTTGCGGACGACGTATGTTTCGGCGCGGCCGCGTTACTTCTCTTGGCCGTCTTGTTCATCATCTGACTGGTCGTCGGTGTGCATTGGGCCGGTGTCACCTGCATGGGCCTCTACGTGCAATGGACCCGTATCAGGAAGTCATACCGTTTGCTTTCAAGGTGTAGAGATAGTCTACCCAAGGATTTAGAGAAAGGACCTGCATAGGGAAGAAATTTTCCAGACCTCACCTTAGTATTAAAAGCCCTAGCTATGTTGCCCTGATTTCTGTTAGGGTCCCTGGAGCCCCAAATTTGATTAAAGTAATCACCATCCCTAAAATATCCTCGTCGATGATCCTTCGATGCGCTGGAGAAAATGTGCTGCTTAGCTTCAAAGCTCTCCTCAATTCTGGAGCGTCTGGTATTCCATGATCGGTGATGATTAGCGGACAGAGAAGAGGCTACCTTATACCGAAAGTGAGGTTGGCGACGACGATCAATGAAATTGTCGTGCTCTACCTTCTCTCTAAAACCCATTTTATATTATTTATATATATATATATATATATATATATATATATATATATATATATATATATATATATATTTGAAAGAGAATTTTATTAAGTGATTCGAATAAAGGTACAAAAGGGGTCACAGTGGATCGCCCCTCTAACAGATGGAGGTAACTGTGCTAATACATTGAATGATCGAAACAAGTTATTTGTGAGAGCGTAACGTGCGAGAGAGTGAGCTACCGTATTTTCCTCTCTGAAAATATGTCTTGCTAGACCTTTATTTTTTGCCAGCAGCTGATGAATCTCGTTACTAAAAAGGTCCTCCTGTTTATTCTCCGTGATTCGTTTCACCGCATTTTTTGCATCTAAGTGGATGTTGATGGGTTGTGTTGTGATACTAACAGCCCATTTGAGGCCCATTAGTGCAGAAGCCAATTCTCCTTCTTCACTATTTTCTGTTCCTTGGATTATTGCTTACTTTGCTCCAATGAATCTTCATGTGCCTGTGCGTAGGATTGCTCCGCCACTCATAACATCATCTTTCACCGCAACATCTGTACTAAGTATCAGCCCTTCCCTTGCGCTTGTCCAGGGGAAGGTGTGAATTGCCGGTAATAAAATGAATGGGATGGACGAGTGAGTGACGCTAATTCTCCTCTTTCCTTTTACAATTGTCCATTTTAGCAACTTTTTCCAGATCATATGGATGATTTGGGTTTCGGTTTTTGATTCGTTGTCATAAGTTCTTCTGTTTCTCTCCTTCCAGATTTCGTGCGCTATGATGCCTGGAATCACCTTGCGTTCTGCTTGACTTTGCTGGTCAACACTATTGCTCCTCCACCAGAGCGACAGGTAAGAGCAAATTCCATGTGTTGTAGTTGTCGTGACCTTGAAACTAGATTCAAAGTGTACCCAGATATTTTTACTGAATCTGTAATCCTTGAGTGTGTGGTTCGCATTGTCTTCATTGTTCCTGCAAAAAAGACACATAGAAGGAAGGTTTTGCCCAAACCAGGTGAGTTGTTTAGGGAAAGGGAGGATGTTGTAGTAGATTTTATATATATATATATATATATATATATATATATATATATATATATATATATATATCTGTGTGTGTGTGTATGGACATTTTAATTACTCCGTATGTGATAATTAAGTTTGTCAAATATAATTAATAATAATAAAAATATATATTCGGATACATATATATAAATAATAAATTGTTTTTTATTTTAATTTGGACATTTTAATTATATGATAATTAAGTTTTTCAAATATTATTTAAGGAACAAAACATAACATAATTATCATATATCCTCTTCTATATTATATAAATGAGAAAGAGAGTTAGGTACCCCTTAATTTTATGCACTTTTCCCATCCAAAAGAGTTGTACATTATACTTTGGATGTTGTACACTATTTTTTATTTCCAACTTTGCCATTACACCGTTACTGGGATGTTTCCTTGAGAATTCATTTCACATTTATATTTCTGAATTGCTATTAATTACTTCATAAGTGATATTGATTAAATGCTTTTAAGTTTCTTTTATTATCTACAATGATGAAATCTTCTTTGAGGTATGTGAAAATTTTCATATAGGATAACAATCATGTAAGTATTTTTTTCAATTTATTATATAGGTACAACTCAAGAATTTCGTAGACCATTCTATTGCTAATTACAAAAAATTCGAACAACATTCTTTAGGTAATTCTAATTTAGTTCATCAATTTTTGAATGCAATATATCCTTCAATCCAAAGATTCCATTATGGTTGAACAAAATTATCCATACTTTTATAAATTAATTTGGGATGTGGGGAGTCTTTATTTGTCAAATGATTAAAAAAGTATTCAAAATGACTTTCATTTACCATGTGCTCAATTATCATGATTTTTTGATTTTACAATTTAGTTTTAAAAAGAATTTTATAAGAATGAAATGTTTGTAGAAGTATTTTCATTTAAGTTGATTTTAAAAAAAGTGTTTTTTGGATTAAACGAAATCTTCGTTGGTTGTGTCCATTATTGGCAATAAATAAGGTTTTTTAAATAATAATATGTAAGAGTAAAAAATTAGGCCGTAGAGAGTTTTAATTTGTCCCTATAAGAATGAGTTTACTATAAATTGGGACGTAGAGAATTTTTATTTAAGTCAAAGTGTTTTATAAAAATGAAATGATTTTATTTAGCGATGTGTATTTTCATTTATGTTGTTTTATAAAAAAATATATCTTTTTTCGATTACCATAATTCTGGGTTGTTTGTTCACTACTCACAGTAAATAAGACTTTTTTGTAATAAAATTATAGGTAGGACTCAAAACTTAGAACGTTGGAAGTTAAATTTGTCCATTAAATATTAAATTTAAAAATCAAATTGGGACGTAGCTAGGTAATTTTTTTTATGAAAGATGAAAATCTTTCAAAATAACTTGTATTTACCTTGTGCTTAGTTCTCAACTTCTCGGTTTTTTAATGTTACATGAGAATTAAATGTTATCGTTTTGGGAGAAATATTTTCACATAAGCTCATTTAAATTCATTCATAAATAAATTGGTTGAACAAAATAATCATTTGTTTACTTAATTTGGGACGTAAGGAGTCTTTATTTGTCAAATGATAAATTAAAATGATTCAAAATGACTTTCATTTACCACGTGTTCAATTCTCATTATATTTTGGTTTTTTAACACTATATTTTTTTAAATAATTTCATAAGAATGAAACCTTTTCATTTAGGAAGAAATATTTTCATTTAAGTTGATTTTAAAATTATTTAGTTTTTTTTGGATTGCCAAAAATATTGGTTGATTGTTTCCCTTATTAAAAATAATTATTTTTTTTAAAAAATATGATATGTATAAGTATAACTAAAAACTTTGGGATGTAGAGAGTTTTTATTTTTCCCTATAAGAATGAGTTTACTAATCAAATTGGGGCATAGGGAGCTTTTATTTAGGCAGAAGTGTTTCATAGAGAATGAAATGAATTCATTAACCGAAAAGTGTTGTCATTTAAGTTCCTTTTAATTAGTCTTTTTTGGGTTACCATAAATCTAGATTGTTTTTATCTACTTCTCGTAGAAGAGATATTTTTTAAATAAAAATTATAGGTACGAGTCAAGAATTGAGACATAGGGAGTGAACATTTGTCCATAGAAGAATCATCTTAAAAATTAAAATGGGACGTGAGAAGTTTTAATTTGTTATATGAAAAATGATCGAAAATCTTTCAAAATGACTTGTATAAAATAAATCCTATGATTTTACACACTTTGAATAAAAAACAATTTGTATCAAAGCATGTTTCCTTATGTTAGTAAACATTTTTTTAATTGTAAGGATGACAACAACAAAAATAATTAGGCATATTAAGATAACAAGGTTGAATGGACATGCAAAGTGAAAGTTGTTGGAAAGCACAGCATTATATACACAAAGGTTCAGTACGAAAAAGTATAGGCATTATGTGTTGTTGGATCAAAAAGTCTTTTAATCTCGTAAATGAATTATTTTATAATCTCGCAATCATAGAGGGGCATAGAGTGTTAATTATGTTTATTTAATGTATTACTTTTTAATATTAGGGAACTAAGATTCTCGCGGTAGGAAATAGTGAATAAATTAGTGCTCTTTGAATGTCATATGATAAACAAATAATAACTAATCATGCTTTTTCTATAAGTATTTCTAATGCATAAAAATTTAAATTGATTTATGACGACAAAGCAAAGTAAATTTCAGAACTTCATTATTAGAGACATAATTTATTTACAATGAGTGGAGTTAAAAAATATAGACTAAAAAATTAAAAATTCACATGTAATTTTGTTCTTCATTGTATAAATTATTGTATAAATTATTGTCTTAAAAAACTCATTATACTATTAAACATTGCATTTTTTGTATTATCAAGTCATACTTGGTAGTATCCATTTTAAAACTCCATTTTTGGTCTTCAAACATTATGCTCATGGTTAATCAAAGATTATTTCAAAGCTTTTAATATTCCACAAAACAACTAAATACACACTATTTCATTGTTGGAATTAGAAAGAGATGTAAAATATGAGACTACACTATGCTCCCGTTATTCACTATAATACTCTAATTTTATACGATGTCTTTTTAATAAACATGGGTATACAATTCAAACAAAAAGATCGTGCTAACATGGACATCAGATATGTATAAATCTGATATCAAAATCCATACATGCAAAAATCATGTCATTCATGAGAGTACCTTATATATTATGAATTTGGAAAATATCAACCATGTCGATCAACTTTAAAT